TAGATTTGAACAGATTTCTGATGAAATACAACTAAAGTTTTGCTTAAGTGTTTGGGCAATATTAGGCAACGTTTAAAATATTATGACCTCTCTTCCATATCCTGTTTACAAAAGTCAGTGAAGCGGCTTCAGGACATGTTTGGGCGACAATCCTGCTTCCTTACTAACGAGTGCTTTGCTCATCCACTGTGTCAGGCCGTCTTGTGTGAAGGTCTGTGATGAACACAAGTATCTGCGAACACCGGTGATGCAGAAAACATGACAGTGTGCAAACCGCGATGCACGCTTCTAAAGCGGAACAGAACCCCAGGTCTGAAAACGGCCAGGAGTAGTTCCAGTGCCGCCTCACGTGAGCCCGGCCTGAGGCTCAGTGCCCGTAATTTGCAGGGTATCGCTGGCCTATGCACAATAGTCTCACAGATAAAAGTTCCAAGCATTTCGTAAGGTAAACCTCTAAAAGTTTCACCCTAATGCGTTTTTTTCTTTGCTTTGTTCTACCTTTCCTTTGCCCATTCCTAAAGCTGCCGGTGAACACCCTCCAGAATTGCTTAGTGTAGGGGTCCCCAACCCCCGGGCCGTAGACCCAGACGTCCATGGCCTGTTAGGAACCAGGCTGCACAGCAGAAGGTGAGTGGCGGGCGGGACAGCGAAGCTTCCTCCACGTTCACAGCCGCTCCCCAGCACTGGCATCACCGCCTCAGCCCCACCTCAGATCGGCAGGTGTTAGATTCTCATAGGAGCACCGGTCCTTGGTACCAAAAAGGTTGGGGACCGCTGGTTAGTGTGTAGGGTCCCCAGACCCCACCACCCGGGTTTGATGACATGCTTAGAGGACAGCATATCGGTGTACTCACGGCTCTGATTTATTACGGTGAGGGAGAGAGCAAAGGGAGAAGGCGTGCGGGCAAACACGGGGCGGGCCAGGCACAGCGCCCAGGGCCCTCTGCCCATGGAGCCACAGCGCGCGCTCTGCTCCCCAGCAGCCGAGTCGCCATCATTTCTTAAAAAAACTTTATTTCTGAATCACCTTGCCACCTTTGCCAACAATCAATGGACCATATAAACGTAGGTCTGTTTCTGGATCATTCTATTCCATTGATCTGTATACATCTATTTTTATGCCCAGAACCACCCTTTCTTGATTACTGTTGTTTTATACTAAGTCTTGAGATCAGTCGGTATGAGCTCATCAACTTTGTTGGGCTTTTTCCCCAAAATGGTTTTAACTAATCTAAGTTTTTTGCCTTTCTATATAAATTTTTTAACTGACTTTTTAATTTCTTCGAGAAAGCCTGTTAGAATGGTGGTTAGAATTGCGTTGAATCTGTAGATCAGTTTGAAGACAGTTCCCATCTTAGCACTGTCTCCCGATCCGTGAACTTTATATAACTTTCCATTTCTTCAGATCGCCTTTAGTTTTCTGCACATCTTTTATTAAGTTTATTTCTAATCGTTTTATATTGCATGCTAATGTAAGCAGAGTTTTAGTTTTATTTTCTAATTATTACTAGTGTTTGTTATTGGTCAATTTCCTCAATTTTCTGAAAGAGTTTAGTATCGTTTGGTTTTTTGGGGGGTTTTTTTTGCTTTAGATATTTGATTGGATACACCAGTGAACCTGTCTGGACCTGGATTTTTCTTTGTGGTAAAGTTTTGTTTGTTTGTTTGTTTTATTTTTTTAATTTTTTATTTTTCAATTAAAGTTGACATACAATATTATAGTAGTTTCAGGTGTACAGCGTAATGGTTAGACTTTGATGTACCTTACCAAGTGAGCACCCTGGTAAGTCTCGTACCCACCTGACGCCATGACATAGTTATTACAGTACTACTGACTATATTCCCCATGTTGTACTTTGTATCCCTACAACCATTTGTAACTGCCAGTTTGTACTTCTGAATCCCTTGCCCCTTTCACCCCGCCCCCAATCCCCCTCCCTGTCTGGCAACCATCAGAGGGTTCCCTGTATCTGTGAGTTTGTTACTGTTTGGTTTATTTTGATTTTTAGATTCCACATGTAAGTGAAACAATATGGCATCTGTCTGTCTCTGTCAGACTCCACTCAGCACAATGCCTACCCTCTAGGTCCATCCATGTTGTTGTATGTGGCGAGATTTCATTCTCTTTTATGGCTGAGTCACGTTCCATTGTATACAGTCATCTATTGATGGGCACCCATAACTCGGCTACTATAAATAATGCTGCTATGAACATATGAAGGCACATGTCCCTTTGAAGTAGTGTTTTGGGTTTCTTCAAATAAGTACCCAAAAGTGGGATTTCTGGCTCCTTCTTTGTCTCTTGTGATAGCCTTTGTTTTAAAGTCTATTTTGTCTGGTATAAGTAGGTTTTGCTATGCCAGCTCTTTTTTTTAAATTTACATTCTCATGAAATATCTTTTTCCACTCTACTTTCAGTCTGCATATGTATTTCGATCTGCAGTGAGTCTCTTGTAGGCAGAACGTGTACGGGTCTTGTTTTCTTATCCATTCAGCCACCCGAAGTCTTTTGATAGAAGTACCTAATCCATTTACATTGAAAGTAATTGTCGCTAGATATGTAGTTATTGCCATTTTATTATTCATGTTTTCAATTTTTCTTTCTCTTCTTAAAGAAGTCTCTTCAACATTTTTTTATGATACTGGTTTGGTGGCGATGAACTTTCTTAGCTTTTTCTTGTCTAGGAAGCTCTTTATCTTTCCTTCCATTCTAAATGCTGGCCTTGCTGGGCAGAGTAATCTCGGTTGTAGGTTGTTGCTTTCCATCACTCGACTATTTCATGCCAACCCCTTCTGGCCTGCAAAGTTTCTGTTGAGAGGGCCCAAGAGAAGGAGGGCCAAGATGGGGGAGGCGGTGGAGTCTCCAGGAGACCCGGGGGCAGCATCGCCCGGGCCCCGTTTGCAGGCCATCTCACAAGACATCCCCGTGGAAGGAGAAATCAGCATTCCTCGAGGTCTCGCAGTCAGGAGTTTGACAGCTCTACGGAACACCATCACGTGTGATCTAAAAGCTGTTGGCCAAAAGTTCACACACGTTTTGTACCCAAGAAAAAGTAATACTTTTTGAGAGATTGGGATTTATGGGGCCCTTTGATCCTTTGTGTGACATTCAATGCTTCAGAGAGGCTCTGCTGACAGCGAAAAAGGCAGAGGGCCCCGGTTGGCAGAAATGTTGGTCATCATTTGGTTTGGGGCAGTTACCATCACCCTCAACTCGAAACTTCCCGGAGGAAACGTCCTTTTTTCAGAGCCTCTGCACGCTGAGTCACTGCATACTTCCCTTCACAGGGGCCGGCAGTGCTGGTGGCCGGCTGGTGCTTTTGGCTGAGCTAGGACCAATAAACCGCATAGCCCGGCTTTTGGTGGTGATCGTGATGTTCGCCTGGTCTCTAGTAGCTTCCGCAGCTGTCCTCGCCGACAGCCAGCCTCCAGCCCGCAAAGCCCTCGCCTCCTGCCCCGCGTTCTTGTTCTATTTCGTCATCAATTGGACGATTCTCACCTTCACGCATCAGTAAATCAGGAAATGGAAATTAAAAACCAGGGAATGGAAAGCTCACCCACACAACGCAGTTCTCCACGGAGTTCGGCCCCCAGCCCTCTTTTGTCTAATGTTGGAGGTATTTGACATCTGGCCACGTTGGGGGAATTACGAGGGAGCCAGAGCGCCGTCGCCACTCGTGAGGAGCTCGTGTTTGCAAGGCTGTCCTTTTCCTCTCGACGTTATTTCTTGAAGCTGCAGGTGCGTAAGACACACAGTACGATGCCTTCTGGAGAGCTGCTGGGGGTCCCTGTGGTCCGTTGGGGCGGCAAGCAAAGACTCAGGAAAACATGGCTACAGCCTCCAAGTTGAACAGAGTTGGTGACTTTTCAGTTTCGAGAACAGGTGGCACTCTCAAACATTGCCTTCTGACCACTGGAATCTGCCTCTCACCAGAACGAATAAGAATGAATAAGACTCTCAGCTGGGAGTCTTAGGCGCGCTCCCTTGTAGGGAACGAACTGCTTTTCTCTTGCTACTTTTAAGGTTCTCTTTCTGTCTTTAACTTTTGGGATTTTAATTATGATGTGTCTTGGCGCAGGCCTTTTTCGGCTCATCTTGTTAGGGATTCTGCGCTTCCTAGGGTTGTATGTCTGTTTCCTTCAGCAGGTTAGGGAAGTTTTCAGTCATTATTTCTTTTACTAGGTCCTCAGTGCCTTGCTCGCTCGCTCATGATTGATAGGAGTGCCATTCGTTAAGGTTTTCTCTGAGGTTTGCGTCTTGTTCTTTTATTTGGAACATTCTCCTCTATTTCTCTGTCGTTGCCACAGGGAGATGAAGCAGCCATGCTTCCTTCCCAGTGTGGATGAAGCAGCCGTGCGTCCTTCCCAGTGCTGGCGGGTGGGCCTCGCGTGGGAGGGCAGCCTGGCCTGACGCTCCTGCCCCGGCCCTGGCATCTCTCAAACCTTCGTGCTTTTCAAGCCTCCATGTTTATGTTTCCTGTCTCTTTGTTGAAGTTCTCACTGAGATCACTGAGCATCTTTATAACCAGTGTTTTGAACTCTGCGTCTGGTAGTTTGTTTGTCTCCATTTTGTTTAGTTCTTTTTCTAGAGCTTTATTCTGTTCTTTCATTTAGGACGTTTCTTTGCCTGCCCATTTTGGCTGCCTTCCTGTGTTTGTTTCTACGTATTGGGTAGGGCTGCTACGTCTCCTGGTCCTGGTAAAGTGAGCTTATATAGTAGGTGTCCTGTGGGGCCCCATGGAGCAGTCCCCTGGTCACCTGAGTCAGGTGTGCCGGATGTGTCCCTGGAGTGGGTTGTGTGTGCCCTCCTGTTGTAGTTGAGTCTTGGTTGCTGTTTGCACCTGTTTCCAATGGGGGAATTGACCCTCAGGCTGATTGGCTATGAGGACTGGCCGTGACTCCTCCTAGTGGAGGACCTGTTGTTCAGGGGCTGACCCTACAGAGCTGGATTCACTTTAGCAGGGCTCTGGTGCCTGCAGAGTCTGCCCTGTGGGTGTGTCGTTTGTAGAGGTGGTTGGGTGGTGCTCTGGTGCAGGCCAAGGTCAGCTGTAGCATGCACCCTGCCTGGGGCCTCCTGGTATGAGCTGCAAAATGATCCGCAGACAATTGACACTCATGCTGGGCTTAGAGGCACCTGAGAGAGGCTAAGCTACAAACAGAGGCCGGCTGCCACTAGGGCCGGGCTTGGGGCTGCTCAGTAAGAGGTGCGGGGCATGCCAAGGCCTGATGCTGCTTGTTTGAGGTTTGTGAACCTTTAAGAGGTTTTAAGAAAGTCCATAGCATGAACTAAGGCCATTTGTACGAGGCTTTGACAGGCCTGCGCACTGGGAGGGGCGGGGCCTCAGGGAATCACCTGGGTGAGGCAGAGTTAGCTTGACTGATGCGGACTCAGCTATGGCACTGCCTGGGTTGCAAGCCAGGCAGGGAGGGCTCGACGAAGGAACAGTGGCTTTAGCCAGTACTTCTGTCTGGGAGAAAGCTGCCTCTCCAGCCCTCGTCCTAAAGCCAGACAACTCCATTCCTCCCTGTGTGTCTCTGGCATCTTTCAAGCTGCTGCCCTGGCGCTGGAGCTCGGAGCGAGCAAGTCCGTCAGTGGTAAGTCCATGTGTGGGCCCTTTAAGAGGACGCCTGGGATTCCAGCTGGCCTCTATGTCACTCAGCCACTGTCCCCACTGGTTTTCACAGCCAGAGTTATAGAGACTTCAATGCCTGGCACTGGAACCCTGGACTGGGGAGCTCCGTGTGGGGCCGGGACCCCTCGCTCCTGCAGAGGGACCTCCGCAGCTGAGATATCCCTCCTGATTTTTATCCACCGCACGTGGGTGTGGACCAGTCCGTTCTGCATCTCCATCCTTCTACCAGTCTTGAGGTGGCTTCTTCTGTATATACTTAGTTGTAGGACTTCCGTTCAGCTAGACTTCAGGTGATTGCCAGTGATTGTTGTTCTGTAGCTTAGTTGTAGTTGTGATGTGGACACGAGAGGTGGCAGTCACGGTGTTTACCTGCTCCGCCGTCTTCACCGGCACCTAATGCCATGGTGTTTTAACTGCTATAGTTTTGAAATATAGTTTGGAATCCGGGAGCGTGATGCCTCCAGCTTTGTTCTTTGTCAAGATTGTTTCAGCTACTCAACGTCTTTGATGGTTCCCTGCAAATTTTAGGATTCGTTGTTTTATTTCTTTGAAAAATGCTGTTGGAATTTTAATAGGGATTTTCAGTGAGCCTGCTTTGAGTAGTATGGACATTTTAACACTATTGATTCTTCCAGCCCATGAGCATGAAATAGCATTCCATTTGTTAGTGTTTACTTCAATTTCTTTCACGAATGTCTTGTAGTTTTCGATATATAGATCTTTCACCCCTTTGGTTAAATTTGTTTCTATGTATTTTACTCTTTTTTGCTGCAATTGAAAATGGGATTGTTTTTCTTTAGTTCTCTTTTTGATCATTTGTTATTAGAGTGTAGAAATGCAACAGATTTTAATGTCCTGGTTTGGTATTCTGTAAATTTACTGAGCTGGTTTATTCTAACACCTTCTGGTGGAGTCGTTAGGGTTTTTTCTATGTAAGATCATATCGCCCGCAAACAGACAGCTGTACTTCCTCTTTTTCAATTCGGATGCTTTCATGCTTCTTCTCATTAAGTCTAGCTTAAGGCTTGTCAATTGTGTTTATTTTTTCAAAGAACTGACTCTTTGTTTCATTGATCTGTTAGCTTTTTACTCTCTATTTCATTTATTTCTACTCCAACTTTTATTTCCTTGATTCTATCTTCGGGCTTTATTTGTTCTTTTTCGAGTTCCATAAGGTGTGAACTTAAGCTGTTTCTTGAGACTTCTTGTTTTTTGAGGCAGGCGTTTTGTCTATGAACTTCCCTCTTAGAACTGCTTGTGATGCATCCCACAAATTTGGGTGTGTTATATTTCCATTGTCACTTGTCTCAAGGGAGTTTCTCCTGTTTTTCTCAGGTTCGTTGTGATATAATTAGCATATAACATCGTGTGGATCGAAGTACAGCATGATGATTTGACACACATATATATTGCGAAATGATTGTTGCAGTAAAGTTAGTTAATACATCCCTCACCTCACATAATATTCATTCTGTTGTGGTGGCGGTGGCGGTGGCGTTGGCGGTGAGAGCGTTTAAGATTTACTCTCTTAGCGACTTCCAAGCATTCAGCACAGTGTTGTTGAGTAGAGCGACCGTGCTGCGCGTTCCAGAACCTACTCACGTCTGCCTGGGAGTCCGTGCCCTCCGGACGTGACTGGGCGCAGCGACTACTGAAAACAGCGTGGACGTTGCTCAAGGTCATTTTTTATTTGTCTTTTGATTTCTTTTTTGACCCATTGGTTGTTCGGCAGCATGTTGTTGAGTCGTAACATATTGGAGAATTATTCCATTTTCTTCGTGTAATTTCTAGTTTTACATCATTTTTATGGGAAAAGAGGATTGATAGGATTGCCATTCGTTAAAATTTTCTCTGAGGTTTGCGTCTTGTTCTTTTATTTGGAACATACTCTGTTTCTCTGTCGTTGCCACAGGGAGATGAAGCAGCCACGCTTCCTTCCCAGTGTGGATGAAGCAGCCACGCGTCCTTCCCAGTGCTGGCGGATGGGCCTCGCGTGGGAGGGCAGCCTGGCCTGATGCTCCTGCCCCGGCCCTGGCATCTCTCAAACCTTCGTGCTTTTCAAGCAGCCTATTAGTTTTTAACAGCTTCCAGTAGTTGAGGATGTGCCAACACCTGTCTGTCACTGTCCCTAAGGGGAGAATCTCAGAACCTAGATTTAATCTGTTCGTCAGCCAGACCCTCAGGCCAGCAGCTTTTAAAAGTATGCAAATATATGTAGTTCTGTGGGACCTTGAGCACGAGCCCTGCTTGGCAGATGATCTGGCAGTGTCCTCTGGGTGGCACACACAGAAATTGTGGCACCAGACAAGTGTACAAGCTCTTTTTCATGAAACACCAGTGAGCTGGGCGAGGCAGAGAGAGGGCACCGAGGCTGCAGCCAAAGCCCACGGTCCTGGAGAGCAGGTTCACACACGTGACGCGTGTGATGGCTGGAGCCTGCCCCCGGACACAGTCCAGGACCGCACCCCCAGAGTGGAAAGCCGCATCCCCAGCTCACGAACGACTAAGAACAGCTTCTAACCACGGTGAGAGCAGAACTCAAATTCAAACCAAACCGGGGGAATGGAGGAGCTGACGGCGGACATAGATGCTCACGCTCGCCTTTCGGAAGGGCTCCGAGCTCTCCGACAGCAGGTGGCAAAGCCCCGACGCGCCCGCCCGGTGACCCTTTCCTGGGAGGCGAGACTGGGGAGCATGGAGGCTGCGGAGTGTTCTGGGGCCCACCGAACCCTGCGAGGCCGGACACCCGGGGCCGAGCGGAGCACTGTGCGGGCGTAGGAAGAGATGGCAGGCGGCGCTGGTTCTGCGGGTGCAGACGCTGTCGCGCTGAGTCGCCACACACAAGCCTGTGCGATGCAGGCTCGACTTCAACCCCAGACGCCCTCCTCTTCACCCCCAAGAGGGAGAACGCGGCAGAGGCGGAGCGGGAGCGCCCCGGAACGAGACCCCTGAGTCTCATTCACATCCCCCGATCGTTCCGCACCCCCGGTACACAGCGAGGACCCTATGACTCTCACGCAGAGGTCGCCTGTAATCGGAATGTCACCAGCATGGAATTCAAGCATAAAAACGAGTAATTCTTCTGCCCGTATCCTAGTGAAGACTGCCTGAGAGCCACAGAACGCGGCTCAGGCACAGGAGAAAATTCACAACTTTGAACATTCCTGTTACTGCGTGGAAAAAAAATGAGAAGACGGACTCGCTCACTTCGATAACTTACAAAAAAACAAGCAAAAACACAGGTAAGAAAAGCAGAAATTTATACATTAGAAAACAAGAAAAAATCTGATCATCTCAAAACCTATGGCTTAAAGCGCCCATGACCATGTCATCTGTGACCCGCCAGGCGCCTGGCCGAGGCGGTGGCCACTTATGCAACCGCTTCCACCACGGCATTCAGGGTGGCTTAGTGCACGTGCCTGGTCCCTTTCCCAGGGCGGAGGGAACACGGGCTGCGGCACCCCCTCCAGCAGGGCACTCAGACGAGGCTCCGGGGGAGCAGACAGCGCCAGGCCTCTTGAGGGCCAGCCTCAAAGTCCACACAGCTTTCCTCTTGCCACCTCTGTCGGTCGAAGCAAGCCACAAGGCCAGCTGGGCTCGAGGGTAGAGGAGGTGGGCTTCACTTCTTGATGGAAAGGGCAGCATGCACAGACAGGGATGAGCAGAATTGATGTCCGCCGTCTCGGGGGACAGCCCACCCCTGGCCACAAATATCTCATATCAAAAAAAAAACACCCTCCACCCCAAACCTCCCAAAACTCCCAAAACTCCCAAAACTCTTTCAATCACAGCGTCAGATTCAGATTCAAAAGGCGGTGCCCAACCCTCTAATTCAGGCCCAGATGTGGACGGGACCCTCCCATGGTGGCTTCAGACAAGAAACGTACGGAAATTAAAAGACATTTTAAATGATGGCAAGTGTGTGCGAAACCAGCAGGAAAAGATAACAAGTGTGCATGTAGCTCATGCGATTACTTCAGAATATAAACCGAAGAAAACTTTTTGTCAAAAGTAAAAGAGGAAGTAGACAAATTCATGATTATAGTGGAAATTTTAAAATAATTCCCTCAGTAATTGACAGAAAATTTAAAAAATAGGTATATGCCAACAATAAACATTTAAAAATTAATAAATTTAATTTAAAATAGCATAAAAAACATGTCAAATACCTAAGAATAAAACTAACAAAAGATGTAACTTTTACAAAAAGAAGCTACAGAAAATTACTGAGAGATTTTAAAGCTGACCTAAATAAATAGGGAGATATTTCATGTTTATAGGTTGGAGGATTCAATCCATATTAATTTATACAAATTAACTGACAGATTCAATGCAATTCTAATTAAAAATCCAGCTAGGATTGGTTTTTGCTTTTGTTTCGTTATGTTTTTGAGAGAATGGGAGTATGAATCAACAAGCCGATTTTTAAATTTATAGACTAATGGAACAGAGAAGAGTCTCCAGAAGCATTTTGTTCTATGAAAAAAGTGAAATTGCACTATACCGTGGAATGAATGGGTTTTCAGTAGCCGTTAGGGCTGCCTAGATGGGCTGTCCGTATGTGCATTAAAAGTGAGCATAAGCCCTTGTTTATACACAAAAATCAATTCCAATGATATTGAGAGAAATTAAGGTAAAATAAATCTTACAGAAAATAACTTAGGAGAATATCTTCATGACTTTGGAGTAGACAAAATTTCTTAAAAGAAACGGAAACGGCTCTAACTGCAAAGAAAAAAGACGTAAACTGGACTACATCCCAGTTAGAATGACTGCTCACCAAAAGGCACAGAGGCAAACCGCAGATTGGGGGAGACATTTGCAAAATACATCTGAAGAAGGATCTGTACCCAGAGTTCAACCACAAAACAGGATGAGAAAGACTAAAAGACAATAGAAAAATGGGGAACAATTTGAACAGACATTTCCCATAAGCAAAGAATATCTAAATCACCAATTAAAATGTGGAACGATGCCCAATTACATAATCCACCAAGGACGTGAGAATTGAAACCCCACTGAGAATCCGAGGGAATTGAGAAGTCTACCACGCCCAGCCTGCAAGGGCGTCAGAGCCTTGGGAATGCACGTGCTGGTTGACATGACGTGAATTAGCGCTGGAGATAGTTCTGGGAGATAG